TTTTATTGCCTTCAGCTTCAGGGCTACGTTCCTCATACAGCGTCTCATGACATCCTTAGCTTGGCAGTCAGATCACTGGAATGATAGAGGCTTTGTTGGCTTGGGAGGTTTTTTGATTTCCTGGTTTTCAGTTCATTTCTGAAAAATAAATTCGTCAGTAAATTACTTTTGTTCTGCTGCTTTATACAGAACTTCATATTCAACTCGATACCTTCCTAGCTGCATTTTCTCTCCAGCTGTTAGTGCCTAGAGTCACTGCTGTTGGATTTATCTCTGCTTTACTGTAGATTTGAGCAAGTTCTGAGCCCACGGGCCTTTATCTTCTCAGTTTCCTACTTATTTTTTGCAAGTTGGTCCTCAAGCCCAGTCAGGCCACCAGCTAGTTTGTGAAATTGGCCAGTGGTGCTCACCGTGTCCTTACCCTCTTCTGGAGCTCTGAGGTCTCCTCAGTAATCTGAGTCCCACAGCTGAAGCTTATTCAGCTCATCAGAGCACAAGCCAGCTTCCCCAGGCTGTCTTGGGCCGAAGGTGCTTCCCTTCCAGGTTTCCTAGAGAAGGTCTGCTCTGAAGGGGTGAGCGTGGCAGTTAGGAGGAGGCGACTCCGAGGAGCACACATTGGGAAGCCTGGCATCCAGTTGCTTGTCACAGGCCACCTTCGTTCTGTGCACATTTCTTGCGTCCCTGCTACAGGTAGCCCTGCTCAATGGTAGGGGTATAGGATGAATGTGACATGGTGCCTGTCCCGGGGGAGCACGTGCTTCACAAGAAAGGAGGCCAGGGAAAAGGCATCCTTGGCAGAGAGCACAGCAAGGATGTAGGCCACTTGTCCCTGAAAAGGCCTGTCCTGCCTGCCGACCCTGTGGCAGCCACATGTTTTGCCCCAGGCTTCCTCTGTGGACTAGCGGCTTCCACAGTTCTACTTTCAAACAAGGAGTCTGTGCTTAGTTGTCTTTGAAATCCATCCCATTGCTAAAAGTCTCTGGTTATGATTAAACGATGTGTTGTTTAAAAACTATTTTAGAAGATTTATAGCTTGCATTGTTAAATATTACTATAATGTGATTTATTATAAAGCCCAGGCCCACAGCATGGCATACAATCATAGTGTTTCTATAGGAAATGTATTCTATTTCTTTGTATTTACTTTGTATTTTTCTCTCTAAAATTGTGTTGCTAAAGTTGGTTGTCCAGGCATGGTGGCACACACCTGTAATCCCAGTAGCCAAAAGGTGGAGGCAGGAGGATCGTGGTGAATTAAAGACCACTTCGGGCTCCAAAATGAGCTCAAGGCCAGCCTGAACTATATAGTGAGACCCTGTCTTAAAAAGACAAAAAATAAAATAAAAGTTAGAAGACTTCTAATGGTTGCCCCCTTCCTTTAAAGGTTGGGTAGATTCCATTTACTCAGTCCACTGGGCTCCGAGACAGGCATGGATGTCAAGTTCAACTTGATACTGGCGGCTATGTGTCTAATTAACACACATTCAACACTTATGGTGAAGCTGTTGATAATCAAAACTGACGCCTTTTTTTTTTTCTTATTGTATACCTATGTTTATAGTATTTCTGTTGCAATTTAGGGTGGGAACAGAAGTAACAGTCACCTCTCTGTCACCTCCAGGTCCAGGCAGAAAACTTGCATAGAAGGAGAGATATTTAAAAGCTTAATAATTATATTTGTTGATTTTTCTAAGCTACCTTTTTGCAAAACATTCATTGCCTTTTTGGAGGTGTGAAATATTTTCTTCTTTCTTTGTATATTGATGTTGTTGCAACCTCACAAACACACATTCATTTTTCTTAGACATTTATTTTACTTCATTCAGGCATTTTAAGAAATATGGTGACTTGCTGGGGAGATAGCTCAGCAGAATAAGTACCTGCCTGGCATGTGCAGGGTCCTGAGTTCAATCCCCAGTACCGGAAGGAAAAAAAAAAAAAAAGAAATATGGTGACTTGTTAATGAGTTGCAGGTAGACTGAAGGTAGGAGACATCTTCATGTGGAGCTGGTTGTAGGAATGAGAGAATCATGGGAGCGTGCCTTCTTTCTCCCGCTGGGATGAAGCATGAGGCACAAGACATCGCTGGGCTCCAGAGATTGTTAGCAGTTTAACATATATCTGAGTTTTCCTTCATTTGAGAATGGCCAGTCATCAGTACTGTACTCTGCTGTTACTGAACACAGTGTCTCATTTTATTCCAAACCTGCCTTAGACTTGGGCTTTTGAGCCTATAAATTTATTTGATCATAGTGTTTTTGTTTTTTCTCCTACCTAAAGCTTAAAAGGAACAAATGTAAGCCCGGCATGGTGGCACATGCCTATAATCCTAGCACTCCCGGGAGTCTGGGACAGGAAGATTGTCTGAGTTCAAGGTCAGCCTGCATTGCATACTGAGTGCACGACTAGTCTGGGCCACATAGTGAGGACCCAGCTAAGAAAGAAAAACCCAACAAAACAGAACAAAAAACAAATTCGCCTTCTGTCTAAGTAGTAGATAGATAAAGAATTATTCTACAAGTGGAGTCTGCCAACTGTCTCCACAAGAAGGGATGAATTACTTTACTGCCTGTGTAAGGTCTTATAGGTGGGCATATTTTGAAATCACTATCTCAGTTACTCTTCTCTCATTGCTGGGACAAATGCCTGACACCCAAAATGAAGGAAGGAAAAGTTTATTTAGCTCACGGTTACTAGAGAGTTCAGTCCATACTCAGTTGGCTCCAAGGCAGAGTGGCACTTGGCAGAGAGCAGCCTTTCATGTTGGCAGCAAAGAGCAGAGAGGAGTAGCGGCAACAATGGCTACAGAGAGCAAGTCTGTCTCCCTTAAGTTGCATTCAGGCTGTCTGCCCCAGGCTGGGTGTAGTACTCACACCCATAATCCCAGCAGAACTCACACCCATAATCCCAGTGGATCATGATTTAATCACAAACTCTAGAAGTCCACGCCATGACTGCATGAGGCTTTGGGGGGACAACTAGACACAAACTATAACAATCACTCAAGTGATTCCTGATGTTCCCTCCAGGTTATGAAGGAGTCTGACTTTTCTTTGTATATTTAGTGTACTCCAAGCTTCATTTACAATAGCAGTTCCTTACAAGAACATTTTTGCTGGATGCAGCAGTGCACACCTGTAATCCCAGCACTTGAGAGCCTGAGGCAGGAGCATCACCCCAAATTTGAGGCCAACCTGGGCTATATAGTCAGTTCAAGGCCAGCCTGAACTGCATAGTGAGACCCTGTTACCAAACAAAGCCTTTTTAAAACTTTATTCTCCATTTATAGTACTCATAAATTTAGAAATAGTAGAATTCAATCCACTGAGTTTTAATTTGTATTTGTCTTATACCCTAATCATTGCATTTAGTTCAAATGATAAGAAAAATTAGCCTGATTTTTTTTTTTTTTTTTTTTTTTTATGATTTAGCTGTAGAAGGAGTTTTATTTTTTATTTATTTTTTTAGGGAAGGGTTTACAGGATGTTCAGAGTCTCACTACTAGATCAGACTCGAGTGATCTGCCTGCTTACAGCCTCCCAAGAGCTGGGATTACAGGCACCAGCTACCATGCCCAGTCTTGATTGCTGTCTCAGTGCACCCTGGGGGCGGAGCTGGCATGACAGGCCTGGGGAATCAAACCCCTGGCTGCTACACCTGCTTGCAGGCGCTTTAATCCCTTGAGCTATTTGGCCGGCCCTTAGAAGGGGTTTTATTAAGATACTAACTAGAGAAAAAATAAAAATGTAGTTCTTCCTGAACTGTGGAGCATAGTTAAGAGGGGTATTAATAGTCAGAGATAAAGTTCAACTTTATATGTGAAAGCTCTTCTGTTGAACCTGATAAGCCAGAAATATTTAAATTAATCTTCCTAATTATGAAAAACAATATTTTAAATTTAAAAATTTAGAGATCCCGATATCTTCAAAGAAAGACATTTCTTGTGTTTGCATTGTAACAGATATATCACTTGTACATTACCTTGGAGTTTTTGTCTTCAGTTATTGCTGTGAAGTTCATGTGACTTATAATTCACCATTTAAACCATACAATTCAGGGAACATCAAAAGAAAACCTTTTTCCAATTGAGCATTCAATCCCCATTTCCCTTTTCCCTGGTCCCCAAGAGCCACTGACCTGCTTGATGTCTTAGTAGGTTTGCATCTTCTGAGTCATATGGAATTATGCACTGTGCCGCCGTTGGCGTCTGGCATCTTTTGCTTCACATATTGTTTTCAAGGTTCATTCATTTTTTTAAGCATATATTGGCATCTCATTCCTTTTTATGGCTGAATAATACTCCATTGTGTGGGTCTACCATGTAGTCCTTATTCATCAGTTAATGACATTTTGTGTCCATCGTTTTACTATTGTGAATAGTAAATTGTAGCATAAAGGGCATCCTTTATACTACATCCTTTATGAGCATCCACATAAATTTTTGTCTAGAAATCTGTTCTTACATACCTAGGAGTAGAATAATTGGAACATAGCATAATTCTGTACTTCACTTTTTGAAATGCCAAATTATTTCCTGCCTCCATTACACGTTTTAGAATCCAGCCATTACTGTGTGAGGGCTCCAGTTTCACCAACATTTGTTTTATCGGGGCTTTCTCTTTGTTAGCTTTTTTCTGTAGCCTCTTACTGAAAAAGTCATACTTAATTATAGTTTTGGTTTGTGTTTTCCTGGTAATTAACGATTTCGAACATCTTTTTGTGTACTTACTGTGACTTTGTATATTTGTTTTAGAGAATTGTCTACTAAAGTTCTGCACTCATTTTTTTTATTGTCATAAAGAAAAACATAGCTTGAGTTACTGTCCCTAAAAATATTAGTAATTGTACGTCACTTTGTAGTGCTAGCTATTGTGTTTCTGCGCTGCATGTTCCCTTTTAAACTACAAACTCTGACGGTCGGGGAGAAGAATGTCTGTTGTCTCCGCCTGCCACCCAGCCCCTGCTATGTCGTGTAAGAATGGCTATGCCTCCTTTCACAGGTGGGGAGCATTAAGCGAGAAATGACCTTCACATTTCAAGCTGAGGACTTCAAGCGTGACTCCAGTAAGAAGCTGTCTCACCATCACCTGTTCCCCTTGGCCATGGAGGAAGACATGAAGACGGTAGACACTAAAAAAGCCGGCCGGATCCTTGACCAGGAGAAGGAGAACACTCGTTCCATCTGTCTCCTCGAGCAGAAACGAAAAGTTGTCTCTTCCAATATTGATGTCCCTCCAGCAAGGTAAGGGGACGTTAGCCTTCCGTGCGCCGGCATTGGGAAGTTTGCAGACAGCACATGCAGTCCCTGGTGTGGCGCCTCAGTGGAGCACAGGTTGGGAGAGGGTGTCCTGCCTGGATTTTTTCTGTTGCTTGTGGGAGTAGCGCAGGTGGCAGTACTCTTTATGAGCTGACTCTGAGGCTGCTGTAGTTTGAACTACTTTAGTTCTAGTGAAGAATACTTCATTAGATTTTGGTAGAAGACTAATAAAGAGCGAAAGTATAAATGCACAAGAAATACGTAGAGTGAGTTGTGAAATGCAGGGCTGAGACGCCCTGAAGCCTGTGTGCTCAGGCCCTGGTCATGGGTTGTCACGTTATGGGTGCAGGTTAAACTCGGCCTCTGCTCTGTTTTTGTGTGGCCTGTGCAATAAGGACCATTTGTATATTTTTAAAGAATTAAAAACAAAGAATATGTGACACTTTTCAATAGGTGGCCTGCAAAAGCCTAAAATACTTAAAAACATTTAGTTACCTCTGATTTATATTGCACTTCTCTTTTAAAAACAAGTTTCCTAACTTAAAATTCGGCCAAGCAAATTTATCTGAAATAGCCAAAGGTATTTTTCACATTGTAATTTTATTTATGAAATGATACCCATTGTCCAGCCGCACAGCCACGAAGGGCTCTACTACAGCAGGATAACAGTGGACAGCGCAGGAGCAAACACAGCCTCCCACTTGCTTTCTGGCTTATTCTTTGTTTCACTGAGAAAGTAATCCCAAAGGCGGCCGGGCTCCGAGGCCTTTTTGTTCGTGTTGTATCCCTCGCACTAGAGCCACTTTATCTTCTAGGAGCTCCATGAATATTTTTCAGATGAAGGAAGGAATGGAAATGCTGTAGTATGAGAAGTTGTGTATTTTTAATATGTGTACCATATCTTGTTGCCAAAAAATCATGTATAATGCAACTTTATAAGCAATTGTTGAGAAGTCCTGCCTTTGTTCAAGTGATTTCTGACAGCTAACTAGGAAAACAGTATCTTTAGAAAAAGAATAAATGATCCCTTTCCACCTGTTCACTTCTTCTAATTGGAAGCTTTGTTTGTTTTTTCTATATTATATCAAATACCTTCACTGAGATATTCCATATTCTGTCCTGCTATGAAATCTGTCAAACTTTCTAGAATTATAGACCTCTTTGTTTCTTTTAACCTTTAAATGACAATTTTTGTTACTGTTGTTTAACTACTTGGAATTATTTGCTTTCTGTTTTTCCATATAAAGTACATGTTAAATTATTTGGGATTAGTTCTTTTGGCTGTGGCTTCATTATGAAGCGTTTTCTCACACCCTGAAGTGGTGGGCGCTTCAGTTCAGATCGATCGTTTGGTTGACTCATAAGAAAAATGGCATGCTAACAGTGTAAAATGTGAAACGCCATGCTTTTATTTTCTTCCAGAAATAAAAGTTAGAGTGTAGGGCAAGAGTTAGACTCCTGGTGTCAGATAGTTTAGTAGTCACTTGCAATTCTGCAGAACCTACTATACATAAAATTTTCATTAGACTGTTGTATATGTTAAAAGACCGGTAATTAGTCACTTAAAATTGCCAGAGATTGTTTTAGGTGTACCTTTATTCTTTAATTTCTCTCTTCTTACAGTAGCTTCTTAGAAAATAATGAAAGGGAAGGGAGGAGAATGCTTTCTGCCCCTTTGACTCTGGCACAGAACATTGACTGTTCCTCCACCTACGCTTGCTCACCAACTGTGAATGAAAGGACAGGGTTCAGATGAGTGCTCGTGCCATGCTCTTAAGGACTGAGCAGAAATTAGGCTTTTAAATCTGTTGAATATGCAGAAAAAGTCTCCAACAAGGTATAATTTAAGGTGTATTAATCTGTTATTGGAGATGCTACCTAAAGCTTCCTTATTTGCAGTTCCCACTCAAAATTTGTATTCATTGCTACAGTAAAAATGTAATCAGTAGAGCCTGCCAAATAGCTCAGTGGACTAAAGCGCCTGCTTAGGCAGAGCGCAGAGGCTGGGGTTTGATCCCCAGTCCCCCTGTGCCAGCCCCACCCCTGATTAATCACTTTAATTAGGGCATGCTGAGACAAGGATTGAGATAGGGTGTGGTAGTGTGCGCCATAATCCCAGCACTTGGGAGGCTGAAAACAGGTGGATCACTAGGAGTCCGATCTACATAGTGAGACCCTGAACACCCTGTAGACCCTTACAAAAAAATAAAAATGTAATCACTGTAAACATGCAGGCACTTGGTGAAGTAAAATTCTTTTTTATTAAATGGTCATGAAGAAATCAGAAAGTGTATAGAAAATATATATATCTAACTCTCCAACTTTCTATTTCTGTTTAGTATCAAACTAGTAAATGACAACTTTTCACTAAATGATCACTATTTTGTTTTAAACTCATCTCTGATATGGTACAAACACATACTTTTTCTGTTTATTAAGGAGAAATATGTATGTTTTTGGTGTGTAAATAATGAAATTTGAGTAAATCTAGATGATAGTGAAAATTTATTGATCTAAGGAAGTCTGTATATTTTATTAAATATACATGTACATACATGTAATCTACACTGTATGTCTGTGCGCATGATTACTGCGGCTCAGCTTCCTAATTGCTTTTGCTCACTTCTCAGAGGGACCATAGTCATCTCAGGCCTGTAAGGTTACACTGGCACAGAGTTCCTTAAAAAAATTGGTTCCCTGTAATGGTTCCCATTTTATCTTTTACGTATTCCCACCCTGAGAGTGTGGTTGAAGTTTGCTTTCCATGGTTTGCAAAAGGAAACTGAAGTTTGTTTTCTGCAGACTGTATAGTGAAAATGGTGGCTATATTTTGTGTTTCCAAGTCCCTAGCGAGGTCTGGGGCTTCCTACCACCTTCAAACCTGTGCCTTGCCGTGGCTCAGCGTCGTCTCCATTCGGCAGCTCTTACTGAGTTCCCACTGTGAAGGAACCAACTGCTTCATAGAAACATAAATGGGGAGCGGGTACCCACCTCTTAAGAGCCTAAGTCCAATCAGAGACTGACAGCATAAGTAGCTAATTTCAAGTTACAGCTTTTAATTTTCCTCCTCTTGTTAGAATGGGGCCAATTTGGAATTGAAGGAGAATTATTAATATTAGAAAAGTTATTGATTTGATACATCTATTTAAAGGTATCTCTTCCCCCCCACCCTCCTGTACCAGGGATTGAACTGAGGACCTTGTGCTTGCCAGGCAAGCACTTATTTTACTGCTCTGTCTCCCCATATATCTATTTAAAATGCTGATTTTCTTTTAGTATCTTTAGCAAGATATGGAGGAATGTAATGGAGAAAAGAGTAACTCTGTATCTGAGATTTATTTTATGAAACCCTGTATGTTCCCCCAATTTTTTTCAGGATTCATTTAAAAATCGCCAGTTTCAGAAAGTGTAAATTTCAGTACATAATATTTGTCCAGATGCGTTAGGTGGACTACCTGAGCAGCAAAAGCCAAGAAAGGATTAAGATGTAAACCCTTAATTAGGAGAACTAGGGTGGGAAACAAGGAGGCGGGTGAGAGGAGACGAGCCTGGGAGACCTTTTGGAAATAGGATTGAGGCTTCTCAGTGTTGGACAGTAGGAAGCGGCTGGCTGATTTAACAAAGAATAGAAAAAAGTTTTTTTTGAAAAAACATTTGAAGCACTCTCGCTGGCTTCCAGATTTGCCGGGAGGCAGCAGGACCAAGTCAGGAAACCAAGAGGCTGGTGGGCACCTATCGCTTGGCCTTTTGGCTTCTAATGTGAGCAGCGTGTGTGTAGGGGATTCTCTAGACACAGCCGCGTGGCGTGGACAGAGCTGACCAAGGCCTAGTGGAGCTTGGCATCGGGGATGCTTCCCATCTTACGAACGAGCAACTCGCCCAAGAACACTCAAGGAACAAACAACAGACCTAAGTAAGTTGTGGCCCCAAGTATATTTTTATTCCTTATCAACTCCACTAGAAGGTTATTACTATTTTCAGCTGTCATTTATTGATGTTTTAAAAATACCTGGACAATTCTAATATCACCTAATACGTCTTGCTCCCCATCCCCTGAAACAAGTTGACCATTTAAACAAACATTATTAGATATCTTTGAGCACTGGAGCATAACATTTGTTATTTTCTCTTTCTCTTGCCAGCCATTGTTTTTTTGGAAGTACTGATGCTTAAATTCATTGGATTTCACCCAAGCAGCAATTACAATTTGATTATGCAAAGTAATAACTGTCTTCTAATTATAACCCTAATGCTAAAGAAATCTATTAGTAAACCAGATATAAAACAAGGGAAAAAGAAAACTTTGGCCAAAAATATTCCTAGACTTAACAGCAGTTTATTAGAGTACTACAGACTGTGAGCTTGCCATTGGAATAAAACAAAGCATATGGTACTATTTGTTTTGTAAGGTTTTAAAATATAGCGATACCATATTTATCACTTGCTGGACAAAGCAGAACCATCTCTTCCTAATCAGATGCCATTCCGGAAACCACAAAGCATAGAAGAACTCCAAAAACTTGTTGAATTTTGGGTTTAGAGATGGAAAGTGATGGAAGCTCTGAGTTATGTGGATTTGGTGGATACAGGGGAAAATCATGAACTGGTTTGGCTACTCTTTTCAGGGATGGTGACTGCATTTTCTCCTCTATCTTTTATGGATTACAGACCATTTGTAGGAGGGTCTGTATGTCAAATTTGAAATCATGTGAGATAACCCAAAATTGCTGTTTTATTTCTGAATCTGGAGAAGCCCAGCAGTTCCTAGAGAAATGTTAGCTTTAAATGCATTAGAAACCTAGGAGGCCCAACCCCTGTCATCAGTATAGAAAAAAAAAAAAAAAAATGACTTCAACATTTTAAAACATTTTTTAAATTCAAAAAAGTCGCGTATTTCCTTTTACAAGTTATTTTAGGATGGCAATATAAAGGCACTCCTCCACGCAGGAGAAATAGCAGTGCTCCATGTGTGGGCTCCCCGTGAG